ACTAGGAGACCAGCATGTCTCAAATCAAGTGCAACAAATACAAACAAATTTCCCTTTTATATTCCAAGCAGTTTCTGTGTAAGCCTTTGTTCTGTTACTCCCTCTTACCCCTTCCATCCCTCCCTTCTGTAGCAGTTAGAAAAGTTCCCATTCGTCTGCTTATCATTTGGCCTTGCAAGGCCTGTTTACAGCAGCTGCCTGCTAGAAAAGCTGACCCTTACATTTCTGCTTCAACATGTAAGCAGTTAGCATAGAAGTAGGTGAGAGTTCACAAGATGGAGTTTTGTGGTTCAGGTAGGCCCAGAGCCGAAGAGCTTCATTGGCACTTCTGGCCTTCCACTCTCCCGAGCTACCTGGTAGCTATGCCTAGTGACACCAACAAACAGTTTTCGGGCTTTTTGCAGTGAGATAGGACACGCTTTGAGTATTAAACTGTCTGTCGATTTCACTTATTGCAGCATTAAGTGCAGGGAAAAAGAAATTGACTTTATATTTATTGTTTAAAGATTCCAAAAGGTAGGCTGCGGTGTGACTGCGGTAAAAATGATCCAGAGTTTTTGCTGGTTGCCTCTTCCTGTAAGCTGGCATTTGCAGATTCAGTTCAGTAGCCTGCTGTTCAGCTTTGATGAAATACCCGTGGAACTTTTCATCCATTTTCAGGTTGTGCAAAACTTTTCAGCAACTCTCTATTGCATTTACTGCACAGGCAAAATCAATGTTTTCCTGCTGCAAGAAGGTGATAACATAATACAAACATCCAAAAATACCAAGATGCAGATTGTGAATTCGAAATCCATCCGTACCATAAGCCCCTTTGCTTCTGCCAACACACTTGCTTTGCTGGCCTTCTGCTGACTATTGATTAAAGTTTCTTTAGTAACAGAAAACTATTCATTTGTGACCTGCAAAGCTTGGCAGTATGAATACCAGTGCACTTCATGAGGAGCCTGAAGATGTGTCTCTTGGCCACTGTATTCATTGCTATTGACACTTGAAGTCCCTTCTGTCTGTATCATGGGCCTGGTCTACACTTCGGGGTTAGGTCGAATTTAGCCGCGTTAGGTCGATTTAAAAATGAATGCGTCCACACAACCAACCCCATTCCGTTGACCAAAATGGCTCTTAAAATTGACTTCTGTACTCCTCCCCGATGAGGGGAGTAGCGCTAAAATTGACTTTGCTGAGTCAAATTTGGGGTAGTGCTGATGCAAATCAACGGTATTGGCCTCCGAAAGCTATCCCAGAGTGCTCCACTGTGACCGCTCTGGAAAGCACTTTGAACTCTGATGCACTAGCCAGGTACAAAGGAAAAGACCCGGGAACTTTTGAATTTCATTTCCTGTTTGGTCAGCGTGGCAAACTCAGCAGCACAGGTGAGTATGCGGTCCCCCCAGAATCATAGAGCGTAGAATGTTTCTATGCTCCCCTTATCATCTCTGTCCCTGAGGTTATTGCAGATTAGAAGGCGAAAAAAACGCACTCACGATTACATGTTTTCCGAGCTCATACAGTCCTCCTGCACTGATAGGGCACAGCTTAATGCATGAAGGCATTCATGGCAGAGGCCAGGAAAGAATTAAGTGAGTGCGAAGAGCGGAGGCAGGATGCGATGCTGAGGCTAATGGGGGAGCAAACGGACATGATGAAACATCTGTTGGAGCTGCAGGAAAGCCAAGAAGAGCACAGACCCCCGCTGCATCCACTGTATAACCGCCTACCCTCCTCCCCATGTTCCATAGCCTCCTCACCCAGATGCCCAAGAATGTGGGGGCGGGGGGGGGGAAGCTCCGGGCACCCAGCCACTCCACTGCAGAGGATGGCCCAAGCAACAGAAGGCTGTCATTCAAACAGTTTGATTTTTAGTGTGGCTACAATAAGCAATGTGGCCTTGTCCTTCCCTCCTCCCCACCCCACCCGGGCTACCTTGTCCGTTATGTCTTTAAAAAAAAATTAATAAAGAAAGAATGCATGGTTTCAAAACAATAGTTACTTTATTTCGAAGCGGGGAGGGTGGTTGGCTTACAGGGAATTAAAATCAACAAAGGGGGCGGGTTTGCATCAAGCAGAAACACACACACTGTCACACCGAAGCCTGGCCAATCATGAAACTGGTTTTCAAAGCCTCTCTGATCCGCAGCGCGCCTTGCGGTGCTCTTCTAATCGCCCTGGTATCTGTCACGAAATGATTGTCTGCAGTTGCTTTCATGGAGGGAGGGGCAACTGATGACATGTACCCAAAACCACCCGCATCAATGTTTTTGCCCCATCAGGCACTGGGAGCTTAACCCAGAATTCCAATGTGCGGCGGAGACTGCGGGAACAGTGGGATAGCTACCCACAATGCACCGCTCCGTAAGTCGATGCTTGCCACGGTAGTGATGACGCACTCCGCCGACTTAATGCGCTTAGTGTGGACATATGCAATTGACTATATAAAATCAATTTCTAAAAATCTACTTCTATAAAATCGACCTAATTTCGTAGCGTAGACATATCCGTGGTGTCCTTCTGTATTTTTTTGAAGATGGTGCTGTGGTAACTACTAGGTGGAGGAAAGTATACAGGTTCTGAACAAGTCCAAAAAAGTTCTTGGAAACGGTATTAGAGCTCAAAGGAGCAACCATGACTAAATGTAGACAATGCGCATAGCAATGTGTGTAAACAGCACATGGTTGTTTTGTTTGGTTGTTAACAACCATCCAGCAAGAGCCATTGATGGGATTTCCCCCCCCTAACTTCTGTGTATGTGTGCCATGGCATTACACTTCCCAGGTCTAAGCGACAGTGCAGGGCATCTCACAGACTAATTGAACCTTGTTAGTGTAGTTATTACCTTGGTTATCAATATGTGTAATTGTGTATTATATAAATGTTGGGGTTTTAAGAGTTATTGTTGTTAAGTTTTGGCCTGGAAGGGAAGATGTGGTATTGGGAGTTGTGCCTTCAAGGGCTGAGCTTCCCAGACAGAGAGTCTGCGCAGGGTGCCACAAAGCTCTTGTTGTTTTGCACAGCAAGCTGGAACTAGGCATAGAAGCGCTTGTGAGCACCCTCAGCATTGAGGCCCAGATCCTCCAGGGCATTTCAGCTCCTAAATCCCATTGAAATTAATGGAATCACCTTTGTGGTCTGGATGTGATCTTTGAATGCCACAGTCCCCACTGGGCTCTGCTGAGGATTCTCAGGCCTCCAAGGGGAGCCTGCCAATTGGTGGATTTGATTGGAAGCCAGGTGCTACTCGGGGCTGGCACAGAGTTTGCCTCCTAACCCAGGGCAGTTTGGGCCGAATCTCCCTTGGCAGTTTGGGGCTGAGTCAAAGCCTGCAAACTCTTGAACCACAAAAAGGCACCTGCAAATCCAGCTCCGTGATGGTCCCATGGTACCATTCAGGACGATTTTGTATCTTCTAGG